CCCCTTCATAACTATTTGTGGGACACCGCTGTGCGCAATTGGCTGCCGCGATTCACCCACAAATTACAGTCAATAAATTTTACAGTATATTTCTGTGAAGCGCTTTGAGACGTTCTCGAATATGGGTTAAGGCTCCATATCAAATGCAAGGATTATCAATATTATTAATGTTAAAGGACATCCAATATTAAAAGGGTCAAGTATGACAGAAAGGTATGAAGATGTAAGAGAGACGAGATTGATTTCAGACTGTCGAGCTGAACGTATTATTAGACTTCAAGTTAATGAGATCTGACTGAAATGTACTATTAATTTGGAAGATTTCCTTGGAATGAAATTATTTTAATGTTATTCCAAATGAAGATAGTGGCTTCATTAAACCCTAATGAGAGCGACTCCGAGTTTTGCAGAGATTCACATGGCCAACACAGTCACGTGGCTCCAACTAAACTCAAAAGAGAAAGTTTCAACTTAAACCACAGTTTAAGTGGTTAGAGTCCTCTGACAAAGCGAGAGGAACCGGGTTCGATTCCCGGGCGGGTCCGATCAGGGCGAAACCTTAGGCAAGTTTCCTTACTCCACACACGTTCCTCTGTTTACTGAGCAGTCAGTAGGAATCAAACCCGGTCCCTCTCTCTTGCGAGGCGAGTGCTCCAACCACCACCACCAGCACCACAACAGCTTCATTTACACAACTCCCTTCACACCAGGAGGCGTCCCAGAGCGCTTGACAGTGGCGGACCCTGACCCTGAGCCGGGGGGAGGGAGGGAGGGAGGTGATGGTAGACACGGTCGAAGGGTAAGATTTTCAGGCGTGATCTGAAGATGGGAAGGAAGGGGGAAAGGCGGAGGGCTAAGTGGAAGCATGGCCTCCGATGGTGGAATGGAGGGCAGGAGAGACACGCAGGAGGCCGGAGCCGATCGAGCAGAGGGATTGGATCGCTCGGAATAACAGCCTCCATCCCTGTGTGGCATGGAAACGAGAGGCCAATATCCTGCCGTTGAGGTAGGTGTAGATGTGAGTGCACAGAATGTCCAGGCAGGTCAGAGGGACCATTAACGTTCCAGCGTTGTACCACCAGGCTAATGGGCAATTAGGAGTGGAGACTGCAGCACATTGTGACACTGTGTGGATCTCTGGTTCAAAGGATTATTAATTTGCTCTCCAGAGCAGAAATCTTTTTCTAATTTCCCAACAATTTTTATGTTTTATCTCTTGTCACGAATGCCTTCAGGCCACACCAGCTCAGTCTCTGCCCCTCTGGATCAAAAGATTGTGGGCTCGAGCCCCCAATGGGCCAAGAGTCCTGTAGCTTCAGTGGTTAGAGCCCTCGCCTCGCAAGTGAGAGACCTGGATTTGATTCCCGGGCGGATCAGGGCGAACCCTTAGGGAAGATTCCTCACTCCAGACACACGCTTCTGTTTACCAGCAGCAGGTTGTTAGTCGATTGGCCGATCACTTTTCCGGGGGTAATAATCCCATCAGAAATAAATAATCTTAACAATAATTTTGCTCACTCAATCCACGACTGTTTGTGTGACACTGCCGGGCGCAATAAGCTGCGCATTTCGCTTACAAAATACATAGTCACTGCACTTTACAGCGTATCATGTGAAGCACTTGGAGACGTCTCGAAGACGTGATAAGGCGCTGTGTCATATGCAAGGATTGTTATTATAATTATCATTTCAAACTCACTGAGAGTTATGTTGCTCTCCCTCCAATGTACAATAGTATTTTTCTCTCTCTCTTGTACAAAATACATTTCTACTGAAGTAGAGAGCGTTTGACGTATTCCAGCGATCAGATTGCCAATAACAGGCTGCATTACATAGGACATTAAGCAACACACCGCTTGGTGATATAGGTCCTGTAATATTATGTTACTCTTGATAGTAAATTAAGGGAAAAAAATTCACTCTCGTATATCATCTGACTATAACCTAATAAGGTTGAAGATTATCACAAACTGAGGGAAACGGAAACAATTTAAGAAAGAGCTAAAGCAGAGATGGGGCCACTTTTCAATCGCCTCCCTGACTATCTGATGGTTTTACATAATTGTTGGTGTAATTTTATTAAAGGAAAAGCGACTTGGAAAGGGGCTTTCTGTTGCTGAGCAACAGCACAGCGCAGAGAATGTGAGTGTGGAAAGGCAGGGGAGGGAATATTACCTGTGAAGTCCTGCACCTCAGTGGTTAGAGCTCTCGCCTCTCAAGCGAGAGGACCGGTGTTTGATTCCCGGCCGGGCAGGGCGATATGTTGGGCCTCACGCACGCCTCTGTTTACATAGCAGTGAGTAGGAACCCGGTTGGCGAGGGATTGGTGGCTCGCTTTCCCTGGGCAATAATCCTTTCACAAAATAACTAAATAAATAATAATTTGATCACTTCAATCCACGACTGCTCATAGGACATTGCTCTGCACAACTGGCTGCCTCGTTTTGCCCACAAAATATCGTCACTTCACTTTACAGTATCTTTGCAGAAGCGCTTTGAGACGTCTCGAAGATGCTTCATCAAATGCAAGGATTATTATTGTTATTCACCCCATCGAGGGGCCCTCAGTGGGTGTGATTGCCTTGACAGGAAACACTCTGACACGTTTCAGCAGGACGAGGTGCTGTAACCTTTCTGCTACGTTTTACTGCTAATGACATTAGTTTAAATTGTGTGTTGTGAGAGAGCGCGTGTGTGTGTGTGCGTGTGTGCGTGTGTGTGTGTGAGAGGGTGTGTGTGAGAGCGTGTGAGTGTGGGAGAGCGTGTGCGAGTGAGCATGTGTGTGTGAGGAGGGTCTGTGTGTGAGAGCGCGTGTGCGTGTGTGTGAGAGAGTTTGGGAGTTCTGTGGTGGAGATGCTGCAGCTCTCAGTGTGAATTAGCTGAAGTGCTCTGTTACTGACAGAACTAACTGGTATTTACTGATGGAAAAGTGCTGGTGAGTCATGTGTTGAAACATCTCACAGTCACAGCGCTTCACGTAATTAATGTCAAGTGTAGTGACTGTTTGTTGTGGGCAAGAAAAGTAATCATTTGGCACACAGCAAGGGTTGCATAAAGCCGGGAGTTGAATGAGCGATTAACACGGAGAATTGTTGGACTCGGGCAGAATTATTACCCCAGAAAGCGATACACCAATCGTCCAACAAGCAGGTCCCTACTTACCGCTGGTAAACAGAGGCGCGTGTGTGCATCGGGTAAGGAAACTTGCCTCGGGTTTTGCTCTGACCTGCGCGGGAATGTGAGGCGGGCGCTCTAACCACTGAGCTACAGGACTCCACGTGAAACGCAAGCTGGAAATTGGCAAATGGGGAGTGTCCCTTTTAAGATATTCCCTTTAATTAACACCGCTGCCTTCTCTCTTCCAGGCACCTGAATGCGAAGCACTGGCCTGTCTCTGGATGAGTGATAAGATAATGATAAGATGTAAAACGCTCTCCACCTCTCGAGCGGGGAGAGAGGCCTGGGGCCCATTAACACAGGAAACTGAAGTATCATTCTAATGAATGTCCCACTTGCTCCTCACCGTAACCCAATTGCATCACGGCCGCCTTTCCTTCCAAGACCATTTGTGAGCTGAACAGTTTGGGTTTCAAGTCGGCGTCTTGTTATTAATTTCAGAAATACCGGACGGGCGTGGGGTGGGGTGGGGTGGGGTGGGGTGGCGTGGGGTGGCGTGGGGTGGGGTGGCGTGGGGTGGGGTGGGGAGAAAGAGTTTCACACTTGATGACAAACCATGTAACTAAAGCCAAGAGAGAAAGGACATCTCATCTCTGAGCCTTTCGCCCCTTCCTTACAGACAAGGGAACTGACAACTTGTACGAGATTTTAAGTGCAGTCCCCTCTCCACCCCCCCACTCACATACACACACCCATGTACACACGCACTCACACACACACACACACACACACACTCAACTTCTCTGGCTTTCAAAGCTGTCATCCCTGAATGTTTATGCATAACAGCAGCAACTGAACACAGCTTCACATTACTGCTTCGGAGCAGTGGGGCTGTGGGTGACTGCATAGTATTAATATCCTCACAGGAAAACAAGGTGGGGGTGTGGGGGGGGGTGGGGGGGAAAGAGAGGGAGCGAGTGGAGCCAACCCACCATCACAGCACAGTGTATTGGGGGGTGGGGGGATCCACAAGCAGATTGACCAGTCGCTGACTGGTGAGGGCACAGTGTGGACCAGGGAGAGCGACACTGGGAGAAAGCACTGCGGGTCGCACATCAGTGCTGTGTGTGTGTCTGAGGCGGGAGAGCGATCGGTCTGCAGCGAGAGGGGAGTTCCGCTGCTTTGCCGACAGCTGAGCTACAGATACAGGGGGGGGGAGAGGGGGAGAGAGGGGGGAGAGAGATACAGAGAGAGAGAGAGATACAGAGAGAGAGAGATACAGAGAGAGAGATACAGAGAGAGAGAGATACAGAGAGAGAGGGGGGGAGGGAGAGGGGGAGAGATACAGAGAGAGAGAGATACAGAGAGAGAGAGATACAGAGAGAGAGAGATACAGGAGGAGGAGAGGAGAGATACAGAGAGAGAGAGAGGGATACAGAGAGGGGGAGAGATACAGAGAGAGAGAGAGAGAGAGAGAGAGAGATACAGAGAGAGATACAGAGAGAGAGAGAGATACAGAGATACAGAGAGAGAGAGGAGAGAGAGGGAGAGATACAGAGAGAGAGGGAGAGAGATACGGAGAGAGAGGGAGAGAGATACAGAGAGAGAGGGAGAGATACAGAGAGAGAGGGAGAGAGATACAGAGAGAGAGAGATACAGAGAGAGAGAGAGAGATACAGAGAGAGAGAGAGAGATACAGAGAGAGGGGGGGGGAGAGGGGGAGAGATACAGAGAGAGAGAGATACAGAGAGAGAGAGGTACAGAGAGAGAGAGAGATACAGAGAGAGAGGGAAAGAGAGAGAGATACAGAGAGAGGGGGGGGGGGAGGGAGAAGGGGAGAGATACAGGAGAGAGAGAGATACAGAGATACAGAGAGGGAGGGAGGGAGGGGGGTGGGGGGCAGACAGCGAGAGAGCACGAGGGAGAGAGCAATGCACACAGAGATATCTTGAGTTAAGCGAACAAACGGCATCTTTGTTCACTGGGGGAGAGCGATGGCACTGTGGATGGAGGTTCCTCTGGAAGTTGGATTGTGCAGCGATGGTCTCACACACACATGAACGCCTGGAAACCCAACCGTTGAAAAGGACGGGAGCTCCAGTTACAGGGGAGAGCCGGTCTGGGGCGGGAGAGCGGGGGAGAGGGGGAGAGGGGGAGAGAGGGGGAGACACACCCCATCTCTCGGACCATTCCACCAGCGCTGAAGATGTCCGGAGCTGCGGTGCGGGAGGAGGGACGCAGTGTCGGTGCGGATGGGACAGTGGGAGCCACACACTCGCAGCTGCCGAGGCTGTGAAGGTAAACTTTACAGAGAGGGAAACACACACAGAGAGAGAGAGAGAGATGTGAAAAAAATGTTTATTTGCTTTAAACGAAAAAGTGTTGGGGGACTGTTCAGCGTTGGAACGGCGGAGAGAGGCACTAAAGTGTTATGGACGTTGTTGGTACAACGTCATTAAGATGTAGAGGTGAAATGGGGGGTTTTGGGGACTGTATGTGCGGGTCCACATGTCTGTGTGGGTGTATATGTGTGTGTGTACATGTGTGTGTACATGTGTGTGAGGCTGTGTGTGTGTGTCTGAGTGTGTGTGCAGAACTGTTAACCATTTCACCGCCGCATGTTGGCTTTGCTCTCCTGCCACAACCGACTGCCCTTTTGCTGAATACGGGGGTACACCACATTATCCCATCGATTAGTGATATATATATATATATATATAAAGGGGGACAGTGAATTTTCACCGAAACACTTTTCCTCCTTCGTCGTTCTGTCATCTTAAGAGCTCAAGAATTTATTTATTTTATGACACATTTGACCACATCAGCGTTGACCAGATTTCTCCCTTGTGGTGTGTGTTGTGGTGTGTGTGGGTGGGTGTGTGTGGGGGGGGGGGGGGGGGAGGGGGGGGGGTGTGGGGGTAAAAAACCCTCCAGATTTGTTTCATTCTATTCTTGGATGTGACAGTATCCACACGTACATACAAATCACATCCGTCCATTTGTCCATTTGTTTTTTGGACGCATCTGTGAGGCGGTAATCCTTTCCTTTGGGGTTACTTTAATGACTGATTTTTTTCGGGGGGGGAACAGAATGCATTTTATCACAAGCATTACGCGGGGACTCCAGCTGCCCAGATCTCTCTCTCTCTCTCTCTCTCTCTCTCCAGCCTTAGCCTCTGAATACTGACATTGATTTCTCCAGCGCAGACGTACTTCTGAAAGGCGCTGTTTATTTCTCTCTCTCTCTCTCCCTCCCCCCCCCCCCACCCCCCACCCCACACCCCACACAGGCAGAAACTGCATTATTTTACATTCAGAGCTGCACAGCTTTCCTCCCAACCCCACCCACGGCGTCTTACCACGTCTTCGAGGCGTCTCAAAGCGCTTCACGGAACGCACTGTAAATTGAATTGACTGTATGTTTTGTGGGCGAAACGCGGCGGCCCAACTGCGCACAGCGGCGGTCCCCCCCCCCCGCAAACAGTCGTGGATTGAGTGACCGCATTATTATTATTGTTGTTTTTTTTTATTTCAAACCCTCAAACGAGCCTTTCGAACACTGATGAATTACGCAACAGCTCCTGAAACCGATCTGTGAAAATACTGTGAAAAACTGTCCCCGAACAGCTTGAAGGAGACAATTGGCAGAAAACCCCCTTTGTTGGTGGATATCAGCAAACTCTTCACCAGTGGGTCAACTAATTACATTCAACACCAGCTGAACATTACAGTTCACTTAACCCTTCAGGGTAAATTCGCTTAACCTGCTCCACAACAATAACAACAACACATTACCTTTACACAGCGCCTTTCACGTCAGGAGGACGTACCAAAGGCTCTGGATAATTGGGAATTTGGACCTGAGCTGGGGGTTATAATAATAATAATAATAATCCTTGCATTTGATATAGCGCTTTTCACGTCGGGAGGACGTCCCAAAGCGCTTCACAGAACACACTGTAAAGTGAATTGACTGTATATTTGTGGGCGAACGCGGCAGCCAATTGCGCACAGCAATGTCCCACAAACAGTCGTAGATTGAAAATGACCAATTTATTATTGTTTTGGGTTTTGGAGGGATTGCTATTAGGCTCTGTGTGGAGTAAGGAAACTTGCCCAAGGTTTCGCCCTCTGCCTGGGATTGAACTCAGGTCTCTCACTTGCACAGCGAGTGCTCCCCCTGGAATCCACGAGAGACAATAGATAGGGCGAAGGGAAACCCCTCCCCCTGAAGTTCTCACGCACTTGTTGGGTTGGGATCAGGAGGGGTGGAGGGTGGGGGTAGAAGGCGCCTTCGGTCGAAGAGAAGGGTCTTGAGATATGCCTTGAAGGAGGAGAGAGAGGGAGCGAGGCGAAGGGACTGTGGGATGGAGTTCCACGGACAAATTATACACATGTGTTTCCATTCGATTTGCTTCATCCATTTGTACAGATGTGTTTCCTTCCCAAAGCTACAGAGAAACTATCACACCCCCTTTAATCCTTAAACACAGCAGCCAATTGCACACCGCTGTCTGTGTCCCACAAACAGCCACCAATTGTATTTGGGGGATTGTTGGCCAGGACACCGAGGGACAGAAAGAGAGAAACTCCCTTCTCTTTTCGAATAATGCCGCAGGAGATCTTTAACGTCCACTTGAACAGGCAGCCAAGGGAGTGGGTTTACCATCTCACCCGAAGGACGGCAATGCAACATATATAGGACAACAACAACAAGTTACACTTGTATAGCGCCCTTCACGTCAGAAGGACAAGTCAACAGAGTACAACAGAATGGCACCCAAACACTTGATAGCATTAGAGGCTGCGCGAGCTCCATTGATCTACCCTTCAACCCCAGCCAGTCAGCCCATCAAAACAAGTGCTTTTCTGCACATTATGAGAAGACAGAGTAGAGTTTTACCAGGAAATCGGAAGGGAGTAGTATTGCTCTCCGCCAGTTTAATGGACTGCTATCTATCCAGCCCGGTCCTTTGGGGAGGGAGTGTGTGGAGGGAGGGAAGGAAGGAAGGAGAATTGATTGCTTTCAGCACAAACTGGTTATCATTCCTCTCAGAAACAACATAAAAAATGCCAGAACCATTTCTGGAACGTGTAATTCATAGAATCAGCCCAGGAGGAGGTTCAGCCCATTGGCTCCGCACCCGCCATCAGAGCAAGTTGTTCATTCAATCTCACTACCTGCTGCCCTCCTCGACCTGCTCCATAGGGCCTCCTGCTTATCCCCCGTGCCCTCTGCGCCACCAACGGCAACCACACTTTCAACCGCTATGCCCGAAACTCCGGGACTCTCACCCTCAATCCCTCCGTCTTGCCCCATCCCTCCCCATCTTCAGGGCGACCTGAAGACCTTCCTCTTCAATAATGCCTACTGCCACCTCCCCGCTCTACCTCCAGCTCAGCGTTGTGGTCTGCCACTGTCAAGCGCTCTGGGACGATACCCCGCGTGAGTGGCACGGTGTAAAATGCAAGTTGTTGGCGTTTTTCTCAACGTTGTCTGTCTGCTAATGGCCAAGGCAGTCCCTAAAGGGTTAAAGCCTTCTCTCACGGGACAGAGCGAAGGGTTAAAATGCTTTCCATTCCGTCAACTAATTTTGGTAATTCCCTCGTTTGTTTGCACAGCCTGTGAGGACTGAAATACTTTTGAATTGAATGCAACTCATTCACACTCTTGAGCTTGTGAAGGTCACAGTAGGTTGGACAAGGATTGGTTGCCGGGGCTGGTGAAGCTAAAGGGAGGATTGGAAAATTCACTGAAAAACCCTTTGCAACTGTGAAATAATGCAGCAAATTCCAGCGTTAGTTACTGATGGTCCCCGGTAGCAATTAAGAGGAGGGCCGGACAGATTCCTCGCTTCAAACAAAACAGATGTTGGAACACGGAGTACAAGCACTTGCTCAAATCTCTAACCTGAAGTGGGTAATAGGAGCTGTCAGCATAATAATTATAATAATCCTTGCATTTGATAGAGTGCCTTATCGCATTATCGAGAAGTCTCAAAGTGCTTCACAGCATATATTGTAAAGTGTAGTGACTGTGTATTTTGTGGGTGAAACGCGGCGGGCGTGGATTGAATGACCAGATTATTATTATTTTTTTCCCTTGATATCCTGACCTAACAACAATCTATGCAGCTCAGTCTGAACAGTGTGAATGGATCAGCCATAATCCACAGCCCTATGGGGGGGTAAGTGTTCCCGATTAACCCTTTAAACCCTGGTATCATTCAATTACTCCAGGATTAATTGAATATTAACATATTAGATAGGAAGAAACAGTTTCCTCTGGCGGGCGGGCGGGCGGGTCGGTAACCAGGACACAGATTTAAGATAATTGGGAAAAGAACCAGAGGGGAGACGAGGAGACATATTTTCACGCAGAGAGTTGTTACGGTCTGGAATGCACTGCCTGAAAGGCTGGTGGAAGCAGATTCGATAATTGCTTTTAAAAGGGAATTGGATAGGGACTTGAAAAGGAAAAATGTGGAGGATTATGGGGTAAGAGCAGGGGAGTGGGGCCAAAGAGCAGGCACAGGCATGATGGGCCGAATGGCCTCCTTCTGTGCTGTAAAATTCTATTATTCTACGATTTTAATCCCCCGAATGGGAAAAAATGGCCAAGGCTGGGACTTTTATATGAAATTAAAACAAAATGCGGTTTGATGGAAAAGTAATGAGGTTAGGAGGAATGATCTCCCCTGAAGTTAGGAGGAATGATTGCCCCTGTAGCAGGGAAAGAACACGAAAGCTCCCTTAATCCTGTCATTTTGGGCTCGGATTTTTGATTTAGTGATATTCGTTGTTTGAATATATCTGAGAACATTTTTTGTGCAGATGGATTGACGCGAGAGGGAAGAGAGAGGGGGCAGTGGGGGAAACAGGAAATCTGTTAGTTCTTTACATACAGAGGAGAGAGAGACCAGAGGGAGGGGGACAGAGAGAGACAAGCGAGAAGGAGGGAGAGATACCAGACAGACAGACAGACAGACAGACAGACAGAGAGAGAGAGAGGGTGAGGCCTGAGGGAGAGAGAGAGGGTGAGACCAGAGAGGGAGAGAGACAAGAGAGGGAGAAAGACCAGGCAATTGGCTGCCGTGTTTCGCCCACAAAATACACAGTCACTACACATCACAGTGTATCCTGTGAAGTGCTTTGAGATGTCTCGCCGACGTGATAAGGCGCTATATCAAATGCAAGGATTATTATTTTTATGGTGGAATGAATTAATAGTTAGCACTGTTGCCACTCCCCATTACACTGCATTTCTACGTCCTCACTAAGTATTCCAATTGAAGTTTGAAACCCGGTGGAATTTTTCCTTGAATATTCTATGAATGTGCAGCTACTAAAGCTAAACCTCAGCGCTGTGGGTTTCAATTCTTTGCTGGGGATGAACCCATAATAATAATAATCCTTTCATTTGATACAGCGCATTATCACATCTTTGAGACGTCTCAATGCGCTTCACAGAATAAACGGTAAAGTGCAGTGACTGTGTATTTTGTGGGCGAAACGCGGCGGCCGATTGCGCACAGCAGTGTCCCACAAACAGTCGTGGGTTGAGTGACCAAATTATTATTATTTTGGCGGGATTATTACCACTGGAAAGCGATCCCCCAATCGACTAACAAGTGGGTTCCTACTGACTGCTGGTAAGCAGAGGCGTGTGTATAGTAAGTAAACGTGCCCAACGTTTGGCCCTGAACCGCCCGAGAATCGAAGTCAGGTCCTCTCGCTTACGAGGCGAGTGCCCTAACCACTCACTGAACTACACGACTTCACTGAACCCATGGCAGTTGCATTAGCAAATTTTCCTCAGTCTCGCCGACCCACTTCGTTCAAAGTCAGCCTCTCCTCTGGGGATTAAGCAGCTTTGTGTGAAACAATTACACAGCAAATAAGAGACACATCTCTGAGCATTACAAGCTGCTAATCCAATAGTGGGTTTGGGGCGAATTGACATGAAGTAAAGTTGGTGCAGTTTCGGTTAGTCACCAGAATCTCGGAGTTTAAGACTAATCCCCTGAATTGATGGCAACCCTTCTATTATTCTATTAGTATCTGCACACTAATCATTGCCTTACTGACGGGCTGTTTTTCCTGATGGTTTGACCTGTAGGATGGAGATCATTCAGAGATCAGTCTGCAGCTCATGTCCTCTCCTGCACCAGGCTCCGCGACCCTATTAATCCCACCCTGGCCCGGCTCCACTGGCTCCCCATCGCCCAGAGGATCGAGTTCAAACTTCTCGTCCTCACTTTCAAGGCCATCCATGGCTTCGTCCCCTCTTCAGCCTCTCTGCCCCCACCCTCTAGAACTCCATCCAACAGTCCCTAAGCCTCACTCTCTGTATAATATACTGTAAAGTGTAGTGAGTGTATATTTTGTGGACGAAACAGGACAGCCAATTGCACACAGCAGCGTCCCACACACAGTCATAGATTGAGTGACCAATTTTTTTCTGAGGAATTATTACCCCACGGAAAGTGATCCACCAATTGACTAACCAGGTTTCTACTTACTGCTCGGTAAACAGAGGGGTGCGTGTGGAGTAAGGAAACGTGCCTAAGGTTTTGCCTTTCCCGGGAATTCTCTTTACAGTGTATTCTGTGAAGCGCTTTGAGACGTCTCAACGACCTGATGAAGCGTTGTATCAAATGCAAAGATTATTATTATTATCATCGAACCTGCCCTTCCCTCTAAACTCTCCCCACTTCTCCCTCTCTGTCCACTCGGTCAGCCCAACATAGAGCACTCTGAGACGTCCTTTATGTGAATGCCTCGAGGTACCTGTGAGCTGATGACAGGCCCGGAGAAAAATTCCCACACTGTAATCTTTAACTCAACAGCAGACTTAAAATTAGCAGAGATAAGCTGAGCAAATTGTCATCTAGAGTCAGATAATAAACAGCTTACAATCCATTCAGACAGCTCAACCGAGCGCTGTGTTCCTGGGAACAAGGCGAGTGTTTCAAGATAAATCCATTTGAAGCAGGAGAATATGCTGTAAGGCATTTCTGCCACTATCTTAAAGGATAAGAACGGGTCTTTCAGTGTGTTAAGGCACTGAATTTGCTTGGTGATTGAGGTGGCCCCAATGCGGTTCTCAATCGCAGCCCTGCACGCGCACACACAATCAGGACGCCATTCACCAGCCCCTCGCTGCTTTTCAATCCTTACAATGTACACACTGATGAGATAGGAAGCTTCCTGACACGCAACTGCAGAACAGTCCTTCCAGCAACAGACAATGAGCAATTTACCAGCAGAAATTCTCAACGTGGCGTCCTGTAGCGTAGTGATTAGAGCCCTCGCCTCGCAAGCAACAGCACCTGGGTTTGATACCTGGGCGGACAAGGCAAAATGTTGGGCAACTTTCCTTCTCCACACGCGCCTGTTTACCTCGCAGTAAATAGGAACCTGGTTGTTAGTAGATTGATGGATCGTTTTCCGGGGGTATTAATCCCTCCAAAATAAAATAAATAATAATTACAAATATCCTGTCAATTCATTTTACAGTATATTCTGTGAAGCGCTTTGAGGTGTCTCAACAATGTGATATATTTGATAATATATCAAATGCAAGGATTATTATTTATGCAGCATTTTCGAGGCTTTGGGGGAGAGGAGGCACATAACGTCCTCTGTGATAGAGGGAGTGAAGAAGGTCTTTCATTTTATTTGATCTCAGACTACACTGAGGGTATATGAAGGATAGAGGCTTCAAGGGGTCTAGGGGTAAGGCAGGGCAGTGGGATTGAACGAAAACCTTTCTGTGGGACTCGATGGGCCGAATGGTCTCCTTCTGTGCTGTAAACTTCTAGATTCTAATACCTACTCGACCATCTTCCTATGATCATGAGTTGTTTGAGAGTCTCGGCTGTTCTCCTGACAGAACAGAAACTGCTCTCTCCTCCCCCAGAGGCTGTCTTTGTAATCCGCGCACTCAGTGACAGAGTGAGCGCACTGCTCTAGTTCATGTCTGGGCTTTGTTTTAGTGCAATGGAACGTGCTTACAAGGAGCATGACTAAAGCTCCCTGTAGTGTAGTGGTTAGAGCACTCGCCTCACCAGCGAGAGGACCCTGGCTCGATTCCCAAGTAAACACGCCTCTGTTTACCAGCAGTAAGTAGGAACCCAGTTGTCAGTCAATTGACAAGTCACATTTCTAAGGGTAATAATCCCTTCAAAAAAACACGTGGTCACTCAAGCCACGACTGTTTGTGGGACACTGCTGTGCCCCAAGTGGACAAGTCACCCACAAAATAGAGTCCATTCACTTGACAGTGTATTCTGTGAAGCACTTTGAGACGTCTTGAAGATGTGCTAAGACCCTGGAACATATGGCTGGATTATTATTATTATTATCATTATCAGGGCAATGGTTTATCTGGCCTTCTATTGTGTTGTACATTACTACCCTGTTAAACAGATACGTCAGTCAACAAGCCAACAAGCACATTAAACCAGCAACTGTGCAAACCTGATACCCCTCATTGTCCAGTGACAGGCTCATCAATAAAACAAAGACCTTGTTGTTTTCCTTTCACCGCTCTGGACTCAAATTGTAACCTGTTCCTGATCTATCGCAGCAATTTACCAGCAGGCGAGAGAGTCACCTCCTCTCCAGGCCCCATCACAAGGTTACCAGGGAGAGGGAAAATCACTATAATACTACTTCTAACGCTTCCATTTGATATCACACATCATCACGCTGTTGAGGCGTCACAAAGCGCATCGCAGAATAGGCGCAGTGGAGTGGGACTGGTTGGATAGCTGTAAGATTCTATGATATTGTAAAATGTAGTGACTGTATATTTTTGTGGGTGAAACACAGCAGCCAATTGCTCACAGCAGTGTCCCACAAACAGTCGTGGATTGAGTGACCAAATGTTTTTTTGTCGGATTGTTACCCCCGGAAAAACGATCCGGCAATCGACTAACAAGCGGGTTCCTACTGACTGCCGGTAAACAGAGGCGCGCGTGGAGGAAGGAATCTTGTTTAAAGATGTTACCCGGCCCGGGAATTGATCCCGTGTCCTCTTGCGCTAACCACTACGCTCCAGGACTCCACATGATTGGAGTCTGTGTATAAACGGTTGCCCTGATGTCTGTCTGCATTGACCTGGTGTGTGTTCTGTGTTGCCCGCAGGTCTAATCTGGACATTGGCTGCCCACACACCTCTCTAACGGGACTACCATGGAAAAGTTCACGTTCGCCTTTCTGCTGGTAGGAAGCTTAGCAGCCGGGTCCGAAGCCTGCCCTTTCCACTGCACTTGCCAGAACCTGTCTGAGTCGCTGAGCACTCTGTGCGCTAACAAGGGGCTGCTCTTCATCCCAATAAACATCGACCGGAGGACCGTGGAGCTCCGACTGGCTGACAACTTCCTGCGGGTGATCGCCCAGCCTGACTTCCTCAACATGTCGGGTCTGGTGGACCTGACACTGTCCAGAAACACATCATCAGCCTGGAGCCCTTCGCCTTCGGGGACCTGGAGAGCTTGCGCTCGCTCCACCTGGACAGCAACCGGCTGATCAGGATCCACGAGGACAGCCTTCGGGGGCTAATAAACCTCCAGCACCTGATCATCAACAACAACCAGCTGATCAACATCGCCCTGTCGGCCTTCGACGACTTTGTGGTGACCCTCGAGGACTTGGACCTTTCCTTCAACAACCTGCAGCGCGTGCCGTGGGAGGCCATCCAGAGCATGGTCAACCTGCACATGCTCAACCTGGACCACAACCTGATCGACTACATCATGGCCGACACGTTTGCGGAGCTATTTAAGCTGGCTCGCCTGGACATGACATCTAACAGGCTGCAGACTCTGCCCCCAGACTCTCTGTTCTCCCGCTCCCAGACTGGAGTTATAAATCCCACCCCGTACACCTCTATCATTATCCTGAACTTCGGGGGGAACCCTCTGCACTGCAACTGTGAGCTGCTGTGGTTGAGACGCCTGGTGCGAGAGGACGACATGGAGACGTGTGCCTCCCCTGCTCACCTGGCCGGCAGGTATTTCTGGTCTATCCCCGAGGAGGAGTTTATCTGTGAGCCTCCTCTCATCACCAGACACACACACAAGGTGTGGATCCTGGAGGGGCAGCGAGCTACGTTAAAGTGCCGAGCCATCGGGGATCCCGAACCCATTATCCACTGGGTCTCGCCCGAGGATAAGATCGTGTCTAACTCCTCCAGGATAGTGTCCTACAGGAACGGCACGCTCGATATCCTGGTCACCACCATGAGAGAAGACGGAGTCTACACTTGCTTTGCCACCAACGCGGCTGGTGAATCGACGGCACTGGCAGACTTGAAGATCATCCCCCTCCCTCACCGCGGCAACGGGACCCTACAGATCCTGCACCACGATCCGGGCTCCTCGGACATCAGCACCTCCACTAAACCCGTGACCAACAGCACAGGCAGGAGCAGGCCCCGGGACAAGACGGTGTCTGTGACTGACGTGACCGGCACCACAGCTCTCATTCGCTGGGCACAGAGCAAGTCTCCCCACATCGTGTGGATGTACCAAATCCAGTACAACTGCTCCATCGATGAGACACTTGTGTACAGGTGAGCACACGCTGCCTTTCTCGTACACTGAAACCATCCATTGTCCCCAACGCTAATGTAAAACTGTAGAGCGGAGACTGAGTGATGAATCTTTGTATTTGATACCAAGCCTTTCACGTCAGGATATGTTTCATAGAGGAGTCCTGTAGCTTACTGGTTAGAGCTCTCACCTCGCAAGGGAGAGGACCTGGGTTCGATTCCCTTCAGGGCAAAACCTCAGGCAAGTTTCCTTAAGTAGTAAGTAGGAACCCGCTTGTTAGTCAATTGGTGGATCGCTTTCCCAGGGTAACAATCCCTTCAGAAAAAATAATGATTGAGTGATCAATGATTTGGTCACTCAATCCATGACTGATTGTAGGAGCAATTGTGAGCAATTGGCTACTGCGTTTGGCCCGCCGACAAAATATACAGTCACTCCACTTTAGTGTATCCTGAGAAGCACTTTGAGACGTCTCGAAGACATGGAAAGGGGCTATATCAAACGCAAGGATTATTATATAGCTCGGTTTGCTTCTGCCCCACATATACAGAACAATGCGCATGTGTGTGTGTGGAACGTGCACTAAATAGAAGCTCGGGGAGTGAGATTTTTGCAGATCAAATCAACTGGGAATTTTTCATAAACCTCCTGATTGGCAATGTCAAAAACACTTAAAGCTCTGCTCGAAATTTAATTATCTCTCCCGAACTTGCAGCGCTCCGACACTCCACAGCGACAGAGAGGGGGAATGAGAGCAAAGCAATACCCAACCCTACGGTCATAATATCATTACTTTACATAGAAAATGCAACCGGTTGCAATTTCGAGACAGTAATCGGATTCCAGGGTTCAGCTAAACCAATTGAGCTTCACTCCTGCCCATGACATCTCAACCCTTTAAATTAGATTGCCACCTTGTCATCACTCTCCATTATTCCGCACACAGGCACTGAAAGTGTGTGCGCTGGAAAACACGGGCGCCTGATGCGAGCTGAAACCTACCACCATCCTTACAAGTCTCCAAACCAAGCTGAGCTTTCCATGCATCCCACCAACACATGGGAATCTCGGAGAGAGATGGTTGGGATGGAATGCGCGCTCTCTCTCTCCCTGGAGGGACGCCCCCTTGCTTACCTAATTCTGGAGAGTATTAGGCTCAGGTTGGGCGGGAGCCAAGCTTGGGGGGAGCCCAGAGTGTGCGTTGGGGTAACTGCTGGAGTCTAACCAGCTAAACCCACACACAGCTCGGCCATTGAGAGAGGGAGTGAGAGAGAGAGCGCTGTCTGGCCAAGCTTTCCCACTGCTTGTCCAGTTAGAACCACCCTACCCATTAGTTAGGGCTTTGGCTTGCAAGATTATCAGGAGCTGAGTGGGAGGATTCCCTGTCCCCAGTGACTAGTCAAGTGGCAATGAACATATCTGCTATTGTGTTCGCCTACAGATACACAGTCACTACACTTTATAGAAACTTTGGAGTGCGATTTGAGTTGCGAACATTTCAGATGTGAGGATTTTTAGAGGTCTCTGATGTTTGTGCATCTCTGGTCTCTGACAATAGGGTGATAGGGTAGATTTATTCAGTTTATTGAAGGGAACAGATGAAAAGCCTCTCTCTTGTGTTTCATGGCTGGTTGACCTTTGCTGGAGACTGATGTTTGCTGACAGTTTTATTGACAAACCATTCTCCTTCATTGCCTTTTACTCCTTTCTTAAATGGACAGTTTTGTGGGCTTCAAAACTCAGCCTGCAGGCCAGAGGGGGCAGGTAGCTAGAGTTGGGGATCAGGGAGTCTGTAGTCAGTGGAGTCCTGTTGCTTAGTGGTTAGAGCACTCACCTCATAAGCAAGAGGACCCTGGTTCAATTCCTGGGTGGGGTGAAACCTCAGGTAAGTTTCCTTACTCTACGCGCCTGTTTACCAGCAGTAAGCAGGAAGCCGCTTGTTAGTCGACTGGCGGATCGCTTTGCGGTGGTAATAATCTCTTCAAAAAATCAGTAATATGATCACTCATATGAACCGCTTTGAGATGTCTCAACGACGTGTTAAGGTGCTGTATGAAATGCAAGGATTAATATTATTTCCATTACTATTAATTCCTCTCATTTCAGAATCATCTCGTCGAAGAGCAAGGCTTTTATCTTGAAGAACCTCATCTCAGGTGTGGACTATGACCTCTGTATCCTGGCCATCTACGACGATTCGGTGACGCAGCTGGCAGCCACCAAGGTGGTGGGCTGCATCCAGTTCAGCACCCACGAGGAGTACCCCCACTGCCACCTACTGCACGCCCACTTCCTGGGGGGCACACTGACTGTCATCGTGGGGGGCATCATCGTGGTCACGCTGCTGGTCTTCACCGTGATCATGATGGTCAAGTACAAGGTATGTGGCAGTGCCCGCTGTGAGGTGCCCAAGCTCACCGATGTGTACTCACAAACCAACGGCAGCCAGACCACGGTGCCCAATGGGATGGTGTCCGCCCAGAGGATTACAGTGCTCAACACCAGAGGGCAGCCGACAGGCGGAGTGCCAGTGCCAGACCTCTCCTCTGCCAACCTGCCTCGCCAGGAGTCTCGCAAAGCGCCACCGTACAGCGCCAAGACTCAGAGAAAAAGGTATAAGTGCAAGCAGAGGGGCGAGGGGGATGGCGAGCTGGCCACACTGGGCTGTCAGGGGGGAGAGGGTCCTGGTGAGAGAACCGCGTTGGCCAAGCAGCCCTGCCCCCAATCCTCGGAGATGCCCAAAACCAAGCGCAGCTGCTCGTTTGACATGGGGGACATTGGTGCCACCACCTGCTACAGCTACGCCAAGCGCTTTAGCGTGATCTGGACTAGACGTAGCCAGTCGGTTCATGGCATGTTAGTGCAGTATGCCACCGAGGGAGAAGTCATGGGGAAAAAGAAAACCTTCTACAATTCTGACGAGCTGGAGGAGAGCATAGTCTGAGAGGAACTGAGAACATGGGACAAGGATCCTCGCACTGGATACAGCGCCTTATCACGTCTTTGAGACGTCGCAAAGCGCTTCACAGGATATACTGTAAAGTGGAGTAACTGTGTATTTTGTGGGCCAGACAAGAACCTTGAACGTGCTTGAGGGGAAGGGGGGGTTGGGGTGGGGGGGGGGGGGGGAGGGCGAGAGGGGAAAGCCTGCTGTACACTTCCACTGAAGTTTTATTAAATGCAAAAAAAGTTGGGATAAGACAGAATCCGATCTGTGGGGTAGATTACGCACATTCCTTTCCTGCTGAGAGATGGTGACTGGTAGCAAGATGTCTCTGGAGTACAGTGCTGAAGGGAGGAGACCTTTGACTTCGGGATATTTTTCTCTGTCTCTCCCTACCCCTCTGTTCACTCGGGACAGGGAATCCTTCCCCTCGGTTCCTGTTAAGCCTGCAGCCAAACCCCAAATAACGGACTAGCAGCGGGAAAGCTGGCCAGACAGCGCTCTCGATGGCCAAGCTGTGTGTGGGTTTAGCTGGTTAGACTCTGGCAGTTACCCCAACGCACACTCTGGGCTCCCCCCAAGCCTTGGCTCTTGCCAACCTGCGCCTAATACTCTCCGCAATTACGTAAGCGGGGTGTGTCCCTCCAGGGAGGGAGAGAGAGCGCATTCCATTCCAACAACCTATCTCTGGGATTCCCAGGTATAGGTCAAATAAATGGAATTCTCAGTTGGGTTTGGAGACTCTTACGCACAGGGATGGGTTTCCGCGTGTGTTAAACAACTGTCCGCCCCCAAAAACGAATGATCATGGCATCTCACAGCCTGCATGAAGCTTAGTGTTTCGGGTACTCACCCAAAATCTCCGGACCGGGCTGCCATCGAATCGGGAATGGGATGCAATACAATTTAAGATGTTTAAGTATTGTCAGGGAGAAGATTTTTTTCCCCCTTTCATTTTATTTTTTAAGCAAAAATAAGAGAAAGGCAAGCCAGTCGATAACATAATAATCCCTGCATTTGGTATAGGCTCTTGTCATGTCTTCGAGGCGTCTCAAAGTGCTTCACAGAATATACTGTAAAGTGTAGTGACTGTATATTTTGTCAGCGAAACGTGGCAGACAATTGCACACAGCAGCGTCCCACAAACAGCCGTGGATAGAGTGACCAAATCATTATTCCTTTTTTTATTTTTTTTGAAGGGATTATTACCCCCGGAAAGGCGATCCGCCAATCGACTAACAACCACGTTCCTACTAACTGCTAGGTAAACAGAGGCCTGTGTGTGGAGTAAGGAAACTTGCCTACGGTTTCGCCCAGGCCGGGAATCGAACCCAGGTCCTCTCGCTTGCGAGGCGAGTGCTCTAACCACTACACTGCAGGACTCCACAATGGCGTACTAGGCACACGATTTGGGCTGAACTGTTGAAGAGACACAGATATACTGACCTCTGGATATTCAAGTGACCAGATCAATGGTTGATTTGACAGACTGCAATGTAAGATATGTCAATGCAGCGCTGGAACTACAGCTCTGCAAATTCTGTTACTGTCTTTATTATCACACCGTGAACTCAAATGTGTTGTTTTAGGTCATAATTGAAACCAGTTTTGTTCGATTGAATATCATTTGCCAAAATCATCTCTGTAAATCCTGACTGGAAATAAACACACAATCACATACGGCAATAATAATAATCCTTGCATTTGATCCAGGCCTTATCACGTCGCTGAGACGTCTCAAAGCGCTTCACAGAATATAAAGTGAATTGACTCAATATTTTGAGGGGGAAACATGGCAGCCAATTGCTTAGTCTCTCTCTCTCCCTCTGCCTACCACTTCTGTACAGGACTCCTATAGTATATATGATCTCCAGTCTGAAATCAATCGAAGGCCTGAAAGCAGAAGGATATTTGAGGTGATTTAGAAAGGGACTTTGGTTTCCTCAGGGCAGGGGCAATAATTTCATGAACCTCCCTCAGGGCTGGTACACAGGAGATTTAAAATTGGGTTCAAATCCAACCTACACCTAGGATTGTTCTCCTTAGAGCGAGAAGGTTGAGGGGTGACTTTATAGAGGCTGTTTCCTCTGGCGGGCGGGCGGGTCGGTAACCAGAGGTCACAGATTTAAGATAATTGGCAAAAGAACCAGAGGGGAGACGAGGAGACATTTTTTTAAACAGTGAGTTGTTACGGTCTGGAATGCACTGCCTGAAAGGGTGGAAGCAGATTCGATAGTTGCATTCAAAAGTAATAATAATAACCCATGCATTTGATACAGCGCCTTATCACGTCTTCGAAGCGTCTCAAAGCGCTTCACAGGATACACTATAAAGTGTAGCAGCTGTATACTTTGTGGAACGAGGCGGTCAATTTGTGCACAGCGACGTCCCACAAACAGCTGTGAAGTGAATGCCCAATTTCATCCAATTTTGTAAGCAAATATGGCAGCCACTCGCTCACAGCCAAGTCCCTTAATCACCCGGCAAGATTGTTGGCCGACTCACTGAAAAAACTCCCTTCATTGTTCCGATAGCATGTGTGAGATCTTCAATGTTCACTGAGAGAACAGCAATGTTTTAACGCCCCTCTTATGAAAGCTGTCACCTCTGACAATGCAGGGCTTCCCCCCAGTACTGCTCTGGGGAGGCTGTGAGCTTGATGTCCCACAATCTGCCAACAGAGACGACAGGGACACAGACCCGTGAGATTATGATTAACAATAATAATATTAATGATAATCCTTGCCTTTGATATAGGGCCTCATCGTGTCATTGAGACGACGCAAAGCGCTTCACAGGATATACTGTAAAGAGCAGTGAGTGTTTACCAATTGCACACAGCAGTGGCCCACAAACAGTCGTGGATTCAGTGACCAATTTTATTTGGAGGATTATTGGCCGGGACACTGGGAGAGAGAGAAACTCCCTTCTCTTTTCCAATAGCACCGCAGGATCTTTAACATCCACCTGAACAGCCAGACGGGAGGAACTCGGCATTTGGTGCGTGTCGAGGGCCACTGTTTGAGATTAGGAATTCCTTCACAAAGGCCCTGAGGGAAACCCCCTCCTCATGCTATGCTATTGTAATGGAGATTCAGTGTACATGAACTGATCCTATGAGAGACTTTTAAATATGTTTATCTGTTAAAGCAGAAGAAAAACACTTTTTTTTTAAAAAAATACACTGAATGAAAGAGAACAGTCAAATTAAAGTAACCAGACATGCCCGGGGGATTTTCACAATTCATTTTCCAATGCTACGCTTGAGAAATAGTCTTTTACTAATCAGTACCTTACAGCGGGAGTTCAGGGGAATTGTAAGTACTCAGTCGGCACTCATCAATACATTCACAACAACAACAACTTGCACTTACGCAGCACCCTTCACGCGGGGCAGTGACTCTGGGCGCTTCACAGTGGCCAACGCAATTCCGTCAGCTCAGGCCCAAGTCCCACAATAACAAAGCTGAATTTTGCTCCTCCAGATAATAATCCTTGCATTTGATCTTACAGACGTCTCAAAGCGCTTCACAGGATACACTGTAAAGTGCAGTGACTGTGCATTTTGTAGGCGAAACGTGGCAACCAATTGCACACAGCGATGCCCCACAAACAGTCGTGGATTGAGTGACCACATTTTTGTTTTACTGGGGGATTATCGCCCCGGAAAAGCGATTCAGCCAATTGTCTAACAAACAGGTGCCTACTTACTGCTCGGTAAACAGAGGCGCGTGTGTGGAGTAAGGAAACTTGATTAAGGCTTCACCCTGCCTCGGAATCGAACCTGGGTCTTCTCACTTGCGAGGTGAGTGTGCTAACCACTCCCCCGCAGGACCCTACCGAGATCCTGTGTGATAATGTAAGTCAATTTATTAATTCTGACAGGTGGGGTTGGAACGGTCGATATTCACCATCACCATTCACGTCAGCGTCTCACAAACAAAGCTGAATTTTGCTCCTCTCTCGGTTTGCACAGTGAGAAGATCAGCGGATCCCAGCCATCTCTGCCCCCTGTCTGGGAGCATTAAGGTTCTGTCAAGTGTTTTCACAGTGAAACAAAGAGTCTGACCCTTAAACTGAGGGCCATTTCACAGCAAACACCACCAACTAGGTGATGCCTCACATTCTGGTTAGGAGAAATTTAAATAAATGTCACTGAAAAATTAATAGCAGACATGTGTGGTATTAATTATTTATCGTGCGATTGAAAGGGTTCGTCCACTCTCAGTGTGACTGACAACCTTCATCTCTCAGCCTTCCTTTTCCAGGTAAAACCAACTCCCCCTCCTCTGGCTTTCTTCACAGCTCCTGTTATGTGGACCTTATCAAGTCGTTTAGACGTCTCAAAGCGCTTCACAGAATATACTGTAGAGTGATTTGGCTGTATATTTTGTGGGCGAAACGCGGCAGCCAATTGCGCACAGCAGCGTCCCACAAACAGTCAGTGGACTGAATGACTACGTTTAAAGAGGGATTTTTTGGATGGATTATTATACCTGAAAAGTGATCCACCAATCGACTAACTTACTGCTTCCAACTTACTGCGAGCTAAGCAGAGGCGTGTTTCGTAAGGAAACCTGCCGAAGATTTTGCCCTGTCCCGCCCGGGAACTGAACCTGGGACCTCTCGCTTGCTAACCACTACTCTACAGAACTCCACAAATTAATTTCTTTGAAACCTCAAAGACGTGATAAGGAGTCACATCGAATGCTAAAAGGATTACTCTCCACCAGTATGTACGAGCACATGGAAATACTGGCTTGAGCGCCCCCACTGGAGTCACCCTAAGTGCTGCTGATATGACCTGCTCACTCCCCATCACATTCTCTCCAAACTTCCTAAGTGCTTTTAAATGATTTGTCGAGTTTGACTATAAAGGCTCTCAGGAACCTATCAGTCTATGTCACATCTCCTAAGTGCTTGACATTTTCAGTCAGCAGATAAGGAAAATCACTTTTTAATTGCTTGTAAGAACGGTTGCAATATTCCACTGACACTATTCCAAGGTTAATATCATACAAGCCCATGTAACACTCAATCAGCAGTGAATGGTCTTAGACACAGCCCACAACAGCCAGTGTTTGCTG